CACGGGTATTTCAAATCCAGCAGGGTCAGCCACGGTGGGCAGGTTTCCGCAGAGCTTCCAGACTAAGGCAGACCAGGAAGAAAGGCCTGGTGCTCCACTTCCGAACGTTGGCCAGTGCACGCCCTAGGGATCACAACAGAACACCGTCTGACACAGATGAGTCTAACCCACCAACGAACAAGCGATGATGGCACGGGTAGGGCAACGTTTTGTTCTGATGTACACAAGGCTGCTCGGAGTCGGAGCAGACTTGACTAAGAACTGATAACAACAGTGGTGAGGACGAGGAAAATAAAAGGGGAGGACTTCGACACCCAAGGGTGAGAACAAAGGAGCCTGAAGCAGATTTCTGATGTAATGACCCCAACGAAGAAGAAAAGAGCTGTGATGAGCTGAGATTTAGAAGGGACATCTTCAGGAGGGAACAGAGGCACTTATCCAAGCATAGATACTGGTGAGTCTTGGAATTGCACAAGGAAGGGTAATGTCAAAGTGACTTGTGGGTTACAAATAAAGCCCAAACTGTACAAGAGAGCCTTGTAATTATGATGACAGGAACAAGAATATATATGCGGGCCTTTTATGCGCAAAGAGAAAGCGCAGCTTACCAGCTTTTCTTTTGCTTCCAGCTGCTGATGCCAAGAAGAGTGCTTCTCAGATTGAAGGCAGGGTGTGGTGCAGAACAGGATGGGCATTAGAAACTGCAGACAGCTCACACTGGGGGAGGAAATGGCCAGAAGGGTCCCTGGGGCCACAGCATTCCAGGGAGCTGAGAGAATCACCAGTGATGCCTCTGAACCCCTGTGTTGACCTTGGAGAAATCCCGGAGACCATGCAAGTTGCTAAATAGAGGGAGGGGGTCAGCAAATGGCTGTCCAAACCTCAGAGACCTCCGTGCAGTGATCTCAATGCCATCTGAGGGCAAGGGCCTAGGGTGGCATATGAAAGGGATGACTCGTGGGCTTCCAGAACAGGAAGTGGGGCTCACGGGGTACCACAAAGGTCATGTAAGAACACTATGCATGCACTGCCGTCGAGTTGAATTCGACTCATAGCAACCCCTCTTTGGGTTTCTGAGGCAGTATCTCTATAGAAGTAGATTGCTCAACCTTCCTTCCGAGGAGTGGCTGGTGGGTTTGAACCACCAGCTTTCTGGTTAGCAGTCAAATGCCTTAGGCACTACGCCACCAGAGGCCCTAAGAACACTACAGAAGGACCAAATGCTCTTCCTAGGCTGACATGACCAATAGGTCATGGAGGTTCCCGGAAAGGAGCTCTGGTGACCAGAGAAGAAACTGCAGAGAAGAGCTGCACAGGGGATTTTGGCCTCAAGGAAAGAAGACGCCCAGAGACCATGGTGGTACTGCCAAGAAGGAGAAGGACCAGCCATCATCTGTGGCCTCCAGAAGGCACAACAAAGGCCCATGAGCTGGAGTCACGGGGCCAGGGACAAGGCTCAGCACCAGGAGGAATTATTTACATCCTCTGACAGTGAAGTGGGCTGCTTGACCGCAGAGGGAAGACCATCACTGCAAGGGTGCAAGCAGAATTGGCCAACCACTTTCCAGAAAGGCTCTAGAAGTTCCTGCATTATTGTGTGGTTGATTCTAAAGACCCGGACCTTTGAGATTCCACAGTCCTGGGATGGTGCTGATGCGAACACAAAGGGACAGGATGGGAATCTGGAGGGAGTGAGGACACGGCTAACTGGGTGGAAGGAACTGGAAGGAGACAGAGGGAAGAAACTAAGACAAGAGACCCTTAGTCTGGACGAAGAATCCACCATCTTAGCCCTGAGGAGTGGGGTCATCCCCGGCATGGCGTGGGGCTGCCCAGGGAAACTGCCCTCCACACGAGGCTGTGACCCCCATCTTTCATGGATCTCTTAGCATATTATTAAGGGCAAAAATTTCAAACTAGAATTTAAATGAGACGACAGATAGAGGAGAGGACAGCAAGGTACCATGAGGTCCCTTCTCAGGCGGTCTGCCTCAGAGCGCTGCCATGGAGTGTGGTGGTGGCAGCTGCGTGGGTGGCTGGGGAGGCACGTCCTTGGAAGCAGGTCTCAGGAACAGGCCAGGAAAAAGTGAAGACGGGAGGGCGAGACGGAGGTGGAGGCAAGGAACAGGGAGGAAAGGAGGACCAAATGAACAGTGGGCGCCCATGGGGGCTCCCTGAAGTCTCGGGGCACCTCCTGCAGTGGGCCCCAAGGAGAAGAGAGCCGGGAATCAGGACACTGACCTCCAGTGTCGCCAACTCCCCGAGGCCCTGGTGGGTGTCACTTCGCTTCCCCGCCTCCTGTCTGCCATCCAATGCAGGCATCCTGGGCCTTAAAGCGCTCTGGGCTTCAGGACATAAAATAGCTCCAGAAATTTAAAACCTTGTCTGCACTCCTGCGAAGTGTTTGCGCGTAAATGTTTCCCTATTTCTTTTTTTTTACGATTTGGAGGAGGGAGGACGGTCAGAGGAGGGTAGAAGCAAGGTGAGAAGCCACTGCGCCCACCGTCGCTCGGCCCCGCCTCATCATCCTAGGGGACCCTGGGCGCAGGAACCTGGCAGAGGGCACATGCCTGCAGCCGCGGGACCAGCCGGGGCCAGCCACCCAGCGGCCTCCTTCGGCCGGCGGTCGCTCCAGCCAATCCCAGCGCCGAATCCGGGGAGAAAAGCGAGGCAGCCCCTCCCCCACTAGGTGGCAGTGAAACGCCTCGTTCGCGCTTTTCCAAATGCAGAAAGGCGGAGAAAAGACAAAAAGAACATGGTGGAGGGGTGCGCCTCTGGGTTCCCAAGCCCCGCTGTGCAGAGCAGGGTGCTGGCACACTCTGTACCCGGCTGCGCTGGCCCTCGGCTTTGGGTGAAAGTGAGGGTGGGCAGCTGGGGGTACAGGCCTAGGGTTTGGACCCGAGAGGGAGGCGCCCGGTCTGCGGCGCCGCCTCACGTGAGCGAAGGTGGGGAGGAGGGTTGGGACGAAGCCCGGCTCGCTGGGGCCCGCCCGCTCAAGGCCCGGGGTCCCGCACCCCCGGCCGAGCTGCGCAAAGACCAGACCCAGCCGCCACACGCAGAAACGAACAAACCCAGCACCCAGGTTCCACGTCCCGCACTCCGCGCCTCAAAGCGCGCGCCCCGAGCGTCTCCCAAACCTCCAATACCTGCATCCCTCCCCCCTTGGACGCCGTCTTCTCCTTTGGACCCGCTCGGCCGGACTCCTGTTTCTATTCCCGGCGAGGGGGCAGGTGCAGGTGGGGTCCTGGCCGGTGGCTGAGTGGCCGCGATCGCGCTCTGCCCAGCCTGCAGGAGCCTGTAGCTGGCACGCTGACGTCTGTGGCTTCCCGGGGAACACAAAGATCGGCGACATCCACCCGGACACCTGCGGCCGAGCAGGGACGCGGCAGCCCGCGCGCCCCGCTCAGTGCCGGCTCCGCAAGCAGCAGGGCGTGCTTGCAGGAGCGGGGGTCGATTCAGGGAATGTCCCAGTGCTGAAGAGGCAGGAGAGGCCGCGGACAGCCTGCATTTATACGAAGGCATGTAAACATGCTACATGCCACACATATGTATATGTGCATGAATATGGATGTCGTGGGCACACACCTACTTAGACACCATTGACTTGCCTGCTCCTGGAAGGCGGCCGAGACATGGCGTGCCTGGGAAATGGTGCACTTTAGCTTTAAGGAGCCTAGAAAAATAAGAGATGAGGCTCACGTTGCACGGATGACATCACTAGCTTCGGGCTGCGCGCTCCTAGGTCGCGGCTGTGGGCTTTAGCCAAGGCTGCAGCGCCCGGCGCCCGGCGAGCGCCCGCCTG